ATACTCCCAGGGAGTTTGTTCTCCGGGAGTTTGTTTCTCCCGAGAAAGAAATCCCCCTATAATTAACTCCCAGGAGTAGCATTTTCCCCGAAAACGACGACGATTTAACGATGAGCTGTATGAGCTTTACAACGACATGGACAAAGTGCAGCGATTTAAAATTCAGCGGCTCCGCTGGCTTGGCCATGTCGTTCGAATGAACAGAAACGCTCCTGCTCTGAAAGTATTCAACGCGGGCCGCAATGCTTGTAAAGACCAGGTGGAGAAGGACTTGGCTTCACTTGGCATTTCCAATTGGCGTCAGTTAGCACAGAGGAGAAATGACTGGCGTGTTGTTTTGGACTCGGCCAAAATCTTTTAGGCGGTTACAGCGCCAATAAAGAAGAAGAAGATAGCAGAAAAAGCCGTACATAAGCAAATATCTCTCAAATCGAATCGATATACGAAGATCTTGTTTTCCCTCTTTTCTAAAAGGCTCTCATCTCAACTAAGCCAAGCAAAGGCTCGACAGATATACGAAAATTTTTTCTCTATCTGATTTCTATTTATGCCAACTATAAACCAAAGCAAATTGGGCCTTATGAATAAAAGCTAAGCAATTGCTTTTGCTCAAAATTTCAGACGATTTACTTAAATTTATTTGAATAAATGGAGTAAAAGGTCTGAAATAGTAAGAAAAAGCAATTGCTTAGTTTTTATTTATAAGGCCCATTGAATAGGTAGCAGCAGAATGGTTGCAATTTAAATTTTTTTTTTTTTGTCGATTTTTGTTACAATTTCGTTAACTTTTTTGACATTTTAGAGTAGAAAATCGGCGACAAAATACACGCAGCTTCTTGGTTTTGCTCTTGCCTTAAACCACTAGAAGAGACCGGTCGGAAGCTCGACAGGTTGACTGCAGTCCCGTTTGCTGATTGAGGACCCATACCTGTCTGGACCCTCTAAGGTTGCGGACCACATTTGTTACGCCCACATGCGCTTCTCGTTGCCACCCAGTTCTTGTACGAGACACACCTAGCCTTGTTTATTTTTGTTTTAAATACATATATACATACATACATAATTTGGCATAGAAAACTGTATTGCAATTAATTTTACTCACTTGTATACATAAATTTTTTCCAACAACATTAAAAATTACATAAACGTTGTTAGTCACTTTCATCCCAAGACATCAACGAAGGCTTCGGCTACCGGGAGGATTTGAATTTTACGAAATATTAGTGAATGTGCGTGATGTGACATGTAAAAACTATACTTTAGATAGCCTTAGCACCAATTTTTCCAATTCTTTAAACTTTTTTAAAATATTCTTAAAACTTTTTTAAACTATTCTTAAAACTTTTTGTTTTTCTTTTACAATTATCATTAGCTTCGCTGGAATTTTCAAAACACACAGTAACTAACTGATAACAGTAACTACAGCTGTCCCGTACAAACAGGCAATTTATTTTGGATTTTTCGGACATACAACAATATTGCTCCCTATAGAAGAATATCTACAAAACTATTAAGAAATAGCTCAGCTGTTAAACAGGTTTAAATGACTAAAATCTCGTCTTCAATGAAACGGCACTCTAGCTTTGTTATAGTCGAGTTAAAGTGCTATTTTCTTCTAAATAAAGTTTCCAGCAGAAAAAAAATGGGAACATGATTTTATTTTTTTTTAACTTTGCATTCGAATTCGGTTCAATCCTACTATGATTTAAACTTGGTTTAAACTCTCGAGCTAGCTGGTTTAAACTAAGATTAGCTAATCAAATTTCAGCCCTAAAAATGCAATGTAAAATCTAAACACTTATACATAATTCATTTTCCTATATAAATATCAAGCTTTATCAAAATTTTCATTTCATTTGGACTAGAGTTGGATTTTTTAGTTCACTTTAAAGATTAGTTCACTTCTAGTTCGTTCAGCTTAATGAACTAGCTCTTCTGAGTTTTAGTTCGTTCATCTTATTGAACTATAGTTCACCTAATTCAATTAGTTCGTTAAAAGGAGCTGAGTAACAGAACAACAAAAATGTATGTTTTATAATACAAACATACGTACATATGTACAGATAAACGATTGAATTAATCTGAAAAATAAAAAACTAATTGACCGACTTCCAAAAAAGGAGGAGGTTATCAGTTCGTCGGAATATTTTTATTTTATGTATGTTACCGCATAACTTTGGACCACATCAACCGATTTCGATAATTCTTTTTGCATCGGAAAGGTAGTGTCTCAGAGGTCCCATACTAATGTGGTTTAGATCGGATCATTGGATCATGAAATATATATACATATATATACTTTTTTTTAAGTCAGTTTTTTTTTGCTAAAAATTTCTTGTTTTTTCGACATGTCGATGGTCCTCAGCAATAACAACACAATTCAGTTGTCTTTGTTCGTTCGTCTTTCTCCAAAATCACGAAAGGATATTTGGTTTTCATATGGCGATTCAAATTTCCATGAAAGCCACCAACAACGCTTATCGAATTTCGGCAGTGCCTGCATTTCATTTTCTCTTCTTCAATTTTGCCTACGAAACGCGATCGAATTGCGCTTCGCTTAGACATCTGAAAGTGAAAGTCTTTTTTAAAAACAAATCTCAAAAACTCAACGCAAGTATTTATTTTTTACACAAATTGCACTAAACGATGATTGAAAATTCAATAAAATAAAATGTCCTTTTCCAAATTCCGAACAGTTCTTTCTTTATGCCCTTACAACGAAACTATTTAAACTACATTTCCATTTTTATTGGAGTGTTGACACAGAAAATTTTAGTTCACTTTAATGAACCAACTAATGAACTAGTTCAATTAAAAGAGCTGACTCTTTCGCTCTTTAGTTCAAAAGCTCCCCAAGCCTAGTTTTAATTGAAACCTGATTCGAGTGTGTCCATTAAGTTGTAAAATATGATTGTAAATTAAGGCTTTCTTTTTATAAAAGCTTGCTACAACTACAATTACGGACCATAATAATATCTTTATAAATATGTACATATGTATGTACTCGTGCATGCATTCAATCATTTAATATTTTGCATTTGCTAGCAATCTACCGGCTCAAGTAATGCAAGCGCCTAAATATAGATGAAATCGATAATTGTAAAGAGAGGAAATTACAAATATTTCCGGCTTCAAATGGAAGTACTACTTCCGTGTTATTAACAATGCACGAGCGACACCGGTTGTGCACTTGGCTAAGCAGTTAGAGAACAGGGTGTTTTTAACGAAAAAGACAGGGTGGCCTACAGATACAAATATCGTGAAAGAGAATCGAGATAGCATTGAATCTAGCCCAGTTAAGTCTTCTTGGCGAGCCTCCGAGGTTCCCTCCCAGATATCGCTAAACTGACTATGCGCTCAGCTGTCCAAGAGTAGGCCACATGTGGACAAGGGTGACCTAACATGGAGGAGTTCTAACTACATATGTAGGTACGTATGTATGTACTTAACTAGATAGCTTGTATTACAGTTATCACTGCCCAGCCAACCAACGGAGTCCGCAGGGTGCACCTTTAGGACTCCCTGTGCGGAGCGCTGATGCTCCTAGGGAGGCTCCGAAAAGAGTCCCAAAGAAGCATATCCGCGGGAGAAAAGTGCCTTTTCAATATACATGAGAAAAGTGTGCCTTTAGGACTCCTTAAATGAGTGATTTCGGAGTTCCGGAGTGCGCGAAGACTCCGTCCGGACTCCCCAATTCGGCTATGATTTTGTGAAAAGGACTCCTAAAATCATTCGAAGATAACCTAGATTAAGGGTTTTGGGAGTGCTCCAATAATAGACCGAAAAGTAGGCTTTACGGTTTCTGAAAATACTCATAATTTCATTTATAATTATAATTACAATAATTTTCTTTTATCTCTCTTTTTTATTGAAAAAAACACTAAATTACAGAAAAAGGTTTAACATACACTGCGTTGCATAATTATAAGACCGCCAAATATTGACAAATTTTAAGTAATTTCTCATAAAAATATTGTTCATTCTTTAACAAAAAACATATAAATAAATAATTTCAAAATTTTTCCGCAAAAATTATAAAAACAGTCAACAAATTTTTACCAAAATTTCACACTTTTAATATAGAATTTTTATTATTATTTTTTTGTTTCATTATAAAAATTCAATTGATTTAAAATGTTTTCAGTCTATGACATAAAAAATCTTATAGACTAGATGCAAAAAAAAAACTAAAAATAAGATAAAAAAAAAAACACTTTGACTCCCTTTTCAATCCATACTCGGAGCGCTCCGAAAACCCTCCTACGAGGTGTTGCTTAGGGAGTCCCTTTTCACTCCATATTAGGAGCGCTCCGCCTTTGGCTGGCTGGGTTGGTACAAATGAAAGCCTGAAAGCGAAACTTTCTAAATGGATAGAGGGGAAAGTCAGGCAATCCCCGACTAGATTCAAACATATAGGTCGTAACATTATTGAGCTAAAAAATTTTATTTCCGACAATGTAGGTGAAAAGTGAGCATCCAGTCAGATATCGTGACTTCTAAGCCATATCAAACTGACTGCTGCTTAGGCTTGGAGCCATCGTCTCCGTCCATTAAAATATTACTAGGCTGCTTGTTTAAGAAGATAACAGCTAGTCCATGATAAAAAGCCAAGAATAGAATACATCGTGATAAAAAGCTGCCTAGAAAGTTTTTTCCCGGTGTCGGTACCTACATACATACACCTTTTTTTGTGCGACTGTTCTAAGTGGCTAGACATCTGCTTCTCGATTCCCCTAAAGTTGCAAAGTTGCGACAGTTAATCGTTCCAACCGCAAAGACGCTACGTATAAAATTTAGTCATTCTTCATACTTTCGTTGTCCAGCAGAATCTAGAAATGTTTTCAATGGAGCAATAGTCCTTTTCATGTTGCTTCCAAGTCTAGTTTGGTGTTCAAAGCGAAAGACCCATTAGATGAGACACGATTTGCTACATTCAAAACACGGAACTATTCAACGAATTCCGCACCTCAGCCACTTATTTTCATCCGAAAGCACCCATCAAGTTTTTCATTCGCACAGATAAAGACAATAATTTATTTAGGATTACGCTTATTTTCTATTGTACATTTTACAAATTAAAAATACATACAATAAAATTACATTCCTATTTACCGTAGCTATATACAGGTAGCCGTAGAGTGCGACACAACTTTCATTACAAGGTTTTGATTTTACTTTTTTTCTTTCAGTCCACAAAAACCTGCATTTAGGAAGTCAAATGGAAATGAAAATCCTTAGCACACAAAATAGGAAAATAGAAAATATCAAACACACGAAAGATCACAAATCACAAAATAGGTCGGCAGCACAAAGTATGTATGTTCATCACACGAGACCAAGGAGACTCGGAGCCAACCTCAGAACTGATGCATTGGGTAGTCGGGTCGATATCGATGGTTGGGTGTGCGTGAGGAGAATTGTGATATCGTGTCATCGCCGTTGGCGGGCATATTTTGCGGCGGCGCCACCAGCAAAATTGGCTGCAGATTCAGCGATTTCCGTGAGCCGGCCAAGCTGACAGCGTCTGTAATGTAAGCGTTGTTAATCTCGCCTGGTATGAAATGAAAGAAATTTGATTTCGAAGTTCATTCATTTTTTTTCTTCTTAATTAAAACTTACCTTTGTAGAGCGAGCTCTGATAGAGGGGATCAGGTTGTAAGCGAACATGTCGCGTGGCAAGTATGAAAGCGAGCGTGGCCAGGACTACACCATCGACACAGCCGATTATGGCAAGAGGATAGGCCCAGCGAATGCCGCAGAGACCAAGTTCAAAACGATTCGCATCAGGGCCGCAGATTTTGCGAAAATCATCTGAATTCCAGCCGAAAGGAAAGGCGGCACAGGCGACAATCATGCAAAGCGCTAAATTAAATGGAGAGAGAAAAGGTAGTTATCTCAGTGTCAAGACAATTAGTTAGTAGGAAGGTTTAGGACCGCTTTTTGAATTTTTAATAGAAAATTTTTTTTAATTCCTTTGAAGAAAAAATGTCAAAGCGGTTATGTATATAAATAAGTATACCAATGCGAAATTATGCCAGGTGAGGCAATAAGAGCAAGAATAATGCTTTATATTGATTTGACACTTCTTATTTGAAATTTGCCGTTAAAATTTTGCATAATAAAGCTGCCTTTAAACGCGTCGATTTTTGTCGTTCAACCAAAATCGGCCAGTACAATTGCAATTCAACTGTAAAATGCAAGGACTTTGGTAAGTCGATTTCTCATTCGACAGAAATCGACCCGTGTAAAGGCAGCTTAAGATAGCCAAATGACAGAAAATAAAGCAAGAAAGCTATTTTATTACTTCACCTTGTTATTGTGCCATGTTAGTATACATAAGCACTTCTACATTTAGTTGATACCAACACGAAAAAAAAATGTTTACGCGCTCATATTTAAAATATATTGCTGGCGTAGCATTTTTCATTTCCCTTCAAGTATGCACATTTTTATGCACTCGATTTGAGGGTTAGCGCAATTCGGTAGTGGATATATTGAGCATACATATTTTTTTTAAACACGTACTGATATATACATACAAAGATACATACATCTACTGTACTTTGTAGTATGTACATATGTTTGTACTGACCTGATATGATTTGCATCCAACCGCATATGTGAAAGACTCTCGTCGACTTCATGAAGATCAAGAATACCAAGAAGCAGATTGTCAGCAAGGCCAATGCCACCGCCGCAACCATAAAGAATGTTGCCAACTGTGACAATGATGGTTATGGTGAGTGTGGGTGCAGTTGTTGTTGGTACGTGAGCGCAAACAATGGTTAATTAAACAAATAAAAAATAGAAAAATGAAAAAATAAATAACAAAACAAAGAAGAGTAAACATGGCTAGATAAAATAGCAGATAAACGCATAGCTTGATATGCCCAAAGGTGGTTGCGTTACGCACTTGGAACGAGAATGTTGGCACTGAAAGTATGGTCTCCCAACGTCGCTTGCAATTGTCGAATATCTCATCTCGCTGACACACCTGCCACAGACCTAAGCGTCCCGCACTTTCATTGTCCGGATCGCCGACCCATTCTGTAGAGAAATTGCAAACAATGCGATTAGAAACTGGCTTAGATAAACAAACCATAAAATATATGTAAAATATTTTGAATGAAATGGTCTTATTTAGCGCAAATTTTCTTTAAACAAAGGTTGATGTGTTATAACAATTTTCTCAAAGTTGTGTTGTTTTGTACTCCTCATACATATGTACGTATGCATACACGATCAGTGTAGAAAACTAATCTAACTTGGCCATTCGATTCGATTGACTGACACACTAACCTGGCGTCACAAAGGCAACGATGCCGATGATTGCATAGCATATTGTGAATATCGCCCAAAGTACGGCTATGGCTTTTGAATTGCGTATGTATTTGGTTGCATAGAGATGCGTCGTGTCCACGTACTCGATCTTTGTGCCCATTTTCCAGCTTACAAATGATTTTGCACACTCACGACTTTGCCGACTTCACAGCGGATTTGGCTGAAACGAATTGTTGTTGGATGTAAAGTAAAGTAAATACAATTATGTTTTATTATTGATATATGTATGTATTATTACAAGTGTATATACCCTACAAGACAGCTGAGTATCATATGAGTACTCATATTATCATTACTCCTAATCACAAAAGTGCTTATCAAAGTCCTCATTTTCGTTCAGGCCATGGGAAAAAATTGAGTACTTTCCCCTCAATGTTGTCATCAGAAAGTCCTCAGTACTAATAGTCAAACTACTCATTTATGCCGTACTACAAAAACAAAAGTGTAAATGTGTGAGAATTTTTGCCTAAAGTGCTCAGCAATGTCTTGTAGGGTACATACGTATAAAAAAATTTAATTGTGTAGAGTACATATTTTTAAGCGTTAGAGAATACCAAAACATTAAAGCTAATTAAAAGAAGCGAACATTAAAAAGTGTTTAGCCACAGAAAAAAACGCAGCAGAAACTTAAAATTGCTAATATCTTAAGCTGCTTACAATTTTTACGTGAAACGAATAGTTTGGTATGAGGCAGTTGAATGACCGAAGTTGCCGTCAAAGCAGCTTACGGTATTCACGGCAGAAAAAAAATACGTCTGTCGACGGCTTAAAGTCTTTGAAGTCAACTTGCAACTAATCAATCATTGGTGTAAAAACGGTGAAGTACTTCTTAATCCTAACCTGATATTCAATGAATATAATTGCTATGTATCGAAATTTGAGCTAGTAATTATTGTGGTTAATACTTGGCAGTTGTAATCAGCCGGACTCCGTAAAACGAACACTTTTACTTACGATAAGTAAAGTCTCACAGGTTTCTCGAACTTCTACCAAGATTGTGAAAATTTACGCTTAAATTTAAGTAAAAATACATTTATTTGTGTCTTTGGCTAATTTTTTTTTTTAGGTTAGGAGAAGAAATAAGTATCCAGTAGACCAGTTCGCAACCTGTACAGTGTCAAGAGTGAGGTAGTATGCCCTTTGAGTTAACTTCTTTAAAGCCTTGTGCATATTCTACGCTGAACCAGCCTTAATTGACCGCGAGAGATTAGTTAAATGATATTTGGAGGGTTTAAATGCTTAAAGAGCGAATCGATATTCTGTCTGACCTGACAAAGGTCAAATGATCACATCTACAAATGTCCTAAAACGTTTAGTCGCAGTGCAGATGGAGAAATAGACCTCATATTTACTTCATCTTATTAGGTACTACAACTCTATATCGGTGTGGTCCAAGACCAAGAAACTTCACCCATAGCACCGAACTCCAAGTAAATAGTACCAGTTGACCGGACTGCAGAGTTATTATTCGCTTGATCACCAGGATAGCGTTATTTTTTAGTGTTAATTTTCGAAAAGCTTAGCCGGTATACTTTCCAAGAAGTTTGTTGTTTTGAACCCGTAATATTGCTGCTCTTGCCTCATCTTGGTGGAGTGAAGAGATGCCGCTATACAATGGCCACGGTTGTTCATCATCAAAGTGGCCACCAGTGTCTCGTAAAGGGTTGGAAATACTCCATTCATTTCTGTTTTACCCAGCGATTTCTTGTAAGCGTATATATCATGTGAGACTTTCCTAATCTCTGCATCCTATAGATTTCGTTATGAGGGTCTAGGATGTTCGGGATAGAAACTTCTAATTTTTTGAGACTTTAAACTTCAAACTTAGCTCATATCCGAACGACAATGCAATATGAAGGATGAATAAATCCGTTCATATTTTTGAATATATGTTACTTGCATGGATGGAAATAACTCCATAAAATTTTCTTGGGATATTTATTGGACCACAAAAGAAACCTGAGTATCATTTAGTGGTAGCAGGCACCTCTAATCATTGGGTTACAATCGTTTTAAATTGTATTCATTTGGGCGCTTAATACTTGCGATAATGTATTAATTGAGTGGTCATATAAAGAGGAGTAACTTATATTTAAAGTAGCGAATCATTTGCTTACTGAAAAATCGGACTGCATATTTAGTTTGCATTTATTAATTAACTAAAAAAAAGGAACAGTCCAGCGCCCTCGTCTTGGTCTGCAGCTAAATTAAAACGTAGAATACGTGGTATGGTTAAGAGCACATCCAAGTCAAAAACGAAAGCACACACTAAGAAAAAAATTTCGATAACAAAATCGATAAAAATACCGATAACAAAATCGATTACAAAATCTATAAAAAAAAATCTATTACAAAATCGATAACAAAATATAAACAAATATCGTTTATTATATCGATAAGTTCCGAAAATATCGATAGCAAAATCAATAACAATATCGATAAAAATTTCGATAACAAAATCGATAGAAAATATCGATAACAAAACCGATAATTATATCGATAAGTCCCGAGAATTCCGAAAATCTCTAAAATACCGAAATAGTCCCCAGATTGAGTCTCTGTCTATATCCTTTTTTCTATAATTACCTTTATTTTAATCTTTCTTCCTCTATCTTCATCTGTACTTTTATCGGTATCCTCATCCTCATATTTTGCTTTATATTTATCTTTGTTTTTACTTTTATGTTTATCATATTCCCCTTCACCTTTGCCTTTTATAAATATGGCGCCATCTGTTATTCAAAAGCCGAAACACCTACACACACATACTTGTTGTCTCCTTCTCACTTCCAGCGCATGTACGTGTTTGCGAAATGATGACGAAGTGATTTTGTATGGAAAATTATTAATACCCATATATTTGAATCAAATAAACATACTTCAAAGATATCAACCAATACTTCACATATACCAAATGAAAGGAAAAATCTTGAATTTTTGATTAAATAGAACAAAAACAAAATCGTTCAAGCGGTTTTCCAGCACTTGAGAAATAAAAAAAAATTTGCGATTCAACAATTGCATTAAAATGCGCAATATTTGTTGAACTTATATAAAATTTGTACACGATAATCGAAACGTAAGACGTACTTATTCTACGTCAAAAATTTAGATGAGAGTGTCATCTTACAGAGATTTAATGAACTCTCAGAATACATTTTTTTATTTCTGAATGTGTGTGCTAGTTCTCATGTGCATCTCTCTCATGTTCCCTCTTATCCCCGCTTGACCAATATAAACAATCGCAACAAAATGTTCCTTCACTCTCTCTAAACTTGTTTACTAGCTTTCTCTTCTTACACGATATTTCAAAATGGTTTAACATTAATCTATAAACAATCGATTCTTTCGATTCTTTTGCATTAAAAGTAAAGATTTTCAAAATATCTTAAGGCTTAGCCAAACGTATGACGTTTCAAATACAAAAGACTTAGGCTACGAACTCGCTACATCACTAAGCAAATGAAAAAATACATTCATACCATATAAACATACAGCTTTGCATCATCCATTCACAAGATGTTTACATATTTCAATTTGCCAGCACGCAGCATCACTTAGCTTTCCATTAATCAAAAAATTAAAAAAAAAAAATAAATATTTGTTCATCACAAAACACTCTCACTTCTGCTGCTCCTAATGGTTTTCGCTTTTTCAACAAGTTTCGTCAGCTCCGCTGGAAAAAATAGTGCGTGGATGAGCAAAATGGAATAAAACCAGCTGGCATTCTTTGGCCATAAATAACCAGCTCGTGTGATTGGCCACATAAATATGGTACGTGATTCGCATAACTCTGCGACTTTTGGAGTTCGAAATTTGAAACGTGATTATTTTTCAAAACTTGTTTAAAATTTAGATGAAATGAAATAATTTTTTGCATTTATTAACTCTACTTAACTACTGAATGTTTATTCATTTGTTTACAAAATATGTGTGTATGTATGTATGTATGTATGTAGATCGCCGAACAAGGTGTGTACTTGAGTGTAAATTTATGAAAGGTTATATTCAGGTTCAAACTTATGCAAAATACTGATTGTGCCATAGATTTGCGCACACATACATACATACTTATAAACAAATTCTTCGTACATGCTTGCGCGAGTTCAACTTTTGCACTGGCTGCCTTGCGCTATGCAATAAAAGTGAAAAATGCTACATAAAATCGAGAAAATGAATCCATTAACGAACGCCAATTTAATTGCTAAGGTCGTTTGCGTGCGCAAGCATTACAACAAAAAAAACATTAGTAAAAGCAAACGCAAAAAAAAAGTAGCAAACACAATTGGACCAGCATCCATACACAAACACAATAGCGATAAAAATCAAATGCGAATCATAGGCGTGCGATGGTATTGTAGACAGGGGGGGTTAAAATCTGATGATTTTTCATTCTTTTTTTTTTTGCACGATAATCGGAGAGCGATGAAGTTAAGATAAAAATGCAAAATAAATCTTTTTGAAGTAAGAATTCGTATGCTGAATTTTCACTAGGCATTTAATTCATTTTCACATGGCATTTTTTAAATTCCTCTAATTTTTTAACACTGCAATGCCTAGTGAAAATTCGGCATTATGCTTTACTTAAAAATTTTTGTTTAAGGTTAGTAAACTTTTTAACTGAAAACCTGTTTTAAAAGGAAAAGTATGTAAGTTGCTTAGATCTTTTGATTGGAAACGAATCTGCCTCATCAGTGGTTCGGAGACAAACTGATTTCGGAGTTGTGCTGTCTTTAGTGTCATTTTTTGTTCTCACCAAAGAAAATTCGTTTCAAAATACATACATCAACATCGAAGCAGCACCAAAACGACGACTTATATTAAGAATTTAGATGGGCCACCTGTTTGCCGTAAAAAAAAAACGTTCTTTGCAAGGCAGTTGCCATACGAGGTAAAATGTATAGATGAAACCTACTCTACTGTTAGCCATCTAAGTGAAGTCCCACCGCTTTTTTTTTTTTTTGTTTTAACCCTCCTTTGAAACGCCACAGGTTCAGCTGGCTGTACTATATTTAAAGTGCATACGTACAATACGTGCTCATGCTTTATTGGACATGGCGACTTTTTGAGAATTCAGCTTGGTTTTTTTTTTGCTTTGCTCGTTTTTCTTGCATACTTTTGACATTTACACGCTTTCGGTGCTGTAGCTGCAACTGAGCCAAACAAATAACAAAGGTGTGTGTACTTAGCGT